CCAGTTTATTAATCGTTTTAGTAACCAGTGGAATTTTCTTTGGACTTCACAGCCTAAGTCAACGATCCTGGCAAAAAGTTCCATAGTCGGCTTCGTTTTCTTCGTTCCATTGAAATGAAGTTGTTGGCCGTAAAGGGGCAATTTATTCTGACGGGGCTGAAGGGTTAATCAGCCGCGGGATCAAACCGGTCACTACTTACTATCAAACTGACCATTCGTATTCGCATCAATGTCAAACCTTTCGGGTCACCTACGAATTTTCGTAAAACCGTAACAACCATGACCGCCCTTCCATTCCCCGATTAGCGGTTATCGCAAGTCCTCTGTCTAACACCAACGCGACTTAATTTAAAGAAGTGAAATTAACGTTTTTAATTAAATATTTTATTCATTATCCCCTTACATATAAACAATTGTACAGAACTATGTTCAAATAAGTATATCCAGGAACAAAAGAAAAGTAATACTTTTTTGACGATTTTATTTAAAAATAAAAGCGCATGTGAAGAGATTATTAAACGGAAAGCTCAATGTCGGCCACCGGTGACCGTCAGATCGATGAATTCGTCGGAACATGCACTGAAAGCCCATGGTGACGCGAACGAACTAATCTGTGAAATTTCTTGACAATGAAACCATGAACGGGCTTCACGTTTCTCTTTGTTCCTTTCTCTCTCTCGCTCTTTTCCTACTCTCTCCTTTAGCTGTCCCCCTTTTTCCGCCTCCTCCTTCTCGTATTTCGCCGCCCCCTCCAGCCTCGTCGCTTCTCTCACGGAAACACGTAGGTCGGTTACACATGATAAGTGAAATGTAGTTGTGGCACGTCGTCTCGGGAGCCTTATGTACCGTGTGGTCATCAAATAACGATCCCCGGATGGTTGGATCTTGCGTCATTGACGCGGTCAAGTCGCCCATGAATGAACCGTCGTGGTCGTCGAGTCGCCACGTGTATATGTGCTCACGCTGGCTCTCTCTTTCTCTGGTTAGGCGGCATTTAAATACTATTTAAGGCTGTACGCGAACGAAACGGGTTGCGGAGGTCGCGTTTGAAACCGCGAACGAGCGTGAGAAATGGCCTACCGAAGTCCAAGGAGTCGTTTTGCGTGCTAGCGAGGGCCCCCGACGCGAATTCATCTCGGCCGAGACCTTTTTTCGCCGGATTCCCGTGTCAGCGAGTTAATTGGGGATTTAGTTAAGGTTCGCCACGGGCACCCCGAACGTTCTACTCTGTTTCGGATCTTACGACCGTTAGGATCTTGAATCTTATGACTGGGAGCATCGAATCTCCTCGAGAATTATTCCATAGGTTGAAAATTTAACCCCCAAAACGCACGCTTTTTTTTTCAATTTTCCAGACAAAAATAATCGTGTATTATTTTTTATGTAAGTTCATAATTTGGAGTTATTATATCAATCACGTTTTTTTTTTTCATTGTTAATGGTACAGAAAGTGCTTTTGGCAAAGTGGAGAAATAGAAAAGTCTTGGCAGGAATTTTTCCACGAGTTGGGCATTTAACCCCCATAACGCACGTATTTTTTTATCAATTTTCCAGACAAAAATGAACGTATTTTTTTCACAAAAAATTTATAGCCTGAAACTATTATATCTTTCAGTTTTTTTTTTCATTGTTAGTGATAGAGACAGTATTCTTAGCAAAATAGAGAAAGAGAAGAGGCTACCAATCGCAACGCGATTTCTTAATATCTCGTTAACAAAACCTCGGATAACATTTTTGCTAAGGAAACAGTTATTTCAAATCGACCCTGTATCCCCCCCCTCCCATATACGTCACAGGCGTGTGCGCGTTAAGAAGTAAAAATAACAATTACGTAAAATTTTGTATTTTTTCAAACCTCCTACAAGATACACGTTATAGAACATTGTTACGATCCTGATGGACAACTTATAAGAAGCGCCTAAAGGAACGAAATTAATCACGGTGTATCATTGACTATCGGAATATTAATGGTTACCTCGACCTGACATATCATATTTATCTGATTACCGTCCAGTTTCCAATCGTGTACATGGACAAATATTAATGTCGACCGTACTACGACGGTGGTCTTCCATTGAAAAACAAGAGAAGTAGGGGCAAGTAGAAAGGATATGAATATGTCTAAACCTAGTATGTTTATCTTCGACAAGACGATGCTAATTTTTAAGTACACACTTTCCGCGGTTTTGTGTAACTGTACTGTGAAATCTCCGTCTCGTTACCTTCTAACGTTCGCACGTGTTCCATTTGCTTGTTTCGTCCATGTTCCTAATCCATCAGTGGTTGTGTATATTTTTCAAAAATCTGCGTGGTAAAGGAAAGTCTATTAATTTCTTTCATAATTTTTTATAATTTTGTTTACAAATCATTGATTTAATATCGATATTTTCGACTTCAAAATAACAAGATACAACGTACGTAACACTCTCACAATTTCGAAATAACAATTTAAATGTCTGGGCGTTAAAGGGTTAAAAAGACAAAAAAAGAAATCATATATAAATGACATAGTCGGTGGATGAAATCAGTGCCAAGTGATTTCACATTAACCGACAAAGTGGTTCTTCTTCTCTAACGAGGAATTAAGTTTCGCACAAGTTTCACTACTTTACCAATTGGAACGACAATATACGAACGCCGTTAGCACCCATGCTCCCGGAAATCAGTGCCGACGAGTGACATCATTTTTTTTTTTTTTTTGTTTGTTTCTAACGCGTACACTTGAAAACCGAGTCACGTCGAAGCTGTTTATTGGCTTCGATACGACACGCCTGACCGGGCAAATTTTGCACGTCGTACGATTTTGAGGACACAGACCTCTCCTGACGCGTTTTAGCTATTAGCGAGTACGTATCAAAGAGGCAGGAAGGGAGGAGGGAAAAGGAGCGAAAGAGAGGGATAGAGGGAACGAGAGATCGAGAAAGCAGGAAGAGGATTAATTTCAAAACCTGTTGGAGGCCACCGAAGACGATGGTATCATTCTTTTTTCGTATGTGTATGTTTTTTTTCTTCTTTTTTTTCTTCTAATGGTACGAGTTGCCCTTCGAACTATTGCGTAACTCACTCACAACTCATTGATATCGAGATCTTTTTAACGGGACAGGCTAATGATTATCTCAATACGTTTTCGGTCTCAAATATAGAATGTATCCGTATATCAACGCAGTTTCGACATCTCTGCTCTTGATTTCAAGTAATACTAACAAAAGTATAGATTAAACAAAAACAATCTGTCATGCTTTGTTCGGGAACATTTCATTCGTTTGTCAAACGTTGGAACGTCTTATAGTTCGGCAAAAGATGAATTGAGTATGGGTAAATATTGACCAAAAATTTACAGAAAGTGCTGTATTGATAGTCGATCGTTGAGTAAATGTCGATATTTTATGCGCTTCGTTTCAGCCATCTTAAAATCGTTGAGAATGGGTCAAGGAGCTTGGAACGTGTTGATAAGAATCTGTCAATACAAATGAACGAATACAAGCTCACATTTTATTAAAAAAAAAATAATTTTATTAATAATCATAGCCCATTGAACAGAAAAATGTTATAAACCAAAGTTAAATGTCATAAAGAAATTTCAGTTTTTCTATGTTTTGTGCCAATTCATGTCAACTTTGTAGTTTCCTCTTGAAAAAAATCGGCACGATTTACATGGAGTAAGTTGCTCTAAATAGTTCTTGATATTAATGTAAATCAATCAATAATTAAACGTTTTATGATTACTAATGATGCTTTTAATATTCAGTGTTTATCCATGTTATCTTATGTCGAATATGATCTATTTTAATTTATTCATGAATTTCTATCGGACACTTGTCGACTTGAATATAGTACAAGCGGCGACGAGCATAGTAACGTTGATTCAAGTGGAGCGCATAAGAAAATCTAGGACATCTAATACTTACTGCATTTTTTGGTATCTTGTATAATACAACAAATTTTTTTATAAAATCAAGAATCAATGGTCACGATAAAACTGTTTAAAATATTTATTAAAGTTTATTCTTTTATAACAATATGTTTGCTCACGATAAATAACAAACTAGTAGTAATACTGACATCGTTTTTATAATGTTTGTATGTCATTTAAAGAAGTTTCGTACTGCCGATCGGCAAGAAATGTTCCAGATATTGCCACTAAAGTGATAAAGTAGGCGTCCACTATCGTAGACAAAAGCAGTGAGCGAGTTAACATTAAATTTTTCCAAAATTTCGTTACCAACTTTAAAAAAGAATAATATTAAAAATACAAAAAGTTTAGGTACGCTATCATATTACTAGTAAAACATACATTTTACTCCTCTTAGGTTTTCTTCTAATGTTTACCGTTTACGAAAAAAACGATGGTACAAATTATCACTAACACCCTGTACATCAAGCCGGCTCGAAGAGCAAATCAGTTATATCGAAGTGCTCAAAACGACCAGTGGAAATTCAAGTCCTCCATTTCTGACTACACAGCTACAAACAGATCACACGGCATGGGCGTAGCCAGGTTATCAGTCAGAGGAGGGTGCAAAAATATTAATACATCGACTGCCACAGTGAAAAAGCCCGTACGTAGCCAGACACATTTTATTTTGTTTTTAAAGTCACAAATCGTTGAAAATGTATGCGTTTTGTTAATAGAAGTCGTTAATCGTGTTTCAAATTATACTGCAATATTAAATATTATTCAAAAATTTTGTAACTCTGGGAAGGAAGGGGGGGGGGTGGTAAAATCCAATTTTTTTCTTGTAGGGTGGGGCAAAAGCCACTTTTTTCCGTCCATCTTTTTCCTGGCTACGCTCATATCACACGGTATGAAGGTAAACAACTTACTAGCCGAAAGAAAAGATACAACAAAACGAAATGATAATTAAATAAGGAAACGTAGACCGTCGGGGGATAATTCGAAAATGGTCGATGATATAGCGTTTCTGAAACGGCCGCGATACACGTGACGAGATGCAACTCGGTTAATTAATTCGAGCCCCCTTTCTCCGAAATTCTTGCAGACGGTCCTCGAACAACGGCTGGACAGCAGGGTCGATGCCATGCTGGAGACCGGTCTTGTGCAGGAACTGCTTGACTTTCATCGAAGGTACAACGAACAGTGGATTCAGACGAACACGTAAGTGCAAAGGAGTTACATCAGAAAGTGCTTTATATCATGCGACTATTCCGTCTCCTTCTTCCAGAATTTATCCTTCGTTTCTCGCCCTGTTTCTCGCCTGTTCCGACACATGCTTCTGCTTAAATGTTATCTGAAAAATATTCCTTTAACATTTCTGAATTTCCTTTCACAATTTTTTATGTTCTTGTGTAAAACAGCACTTGGTATATTATTGGAAGGGAAAATTAAGAGTTTCAGGAACGTATTAAAGTAAAATTATCAGAATAGAAGTATTCCGATTGCTGAATAACCGTGAATATTTTGGTTGCCTATACAAGGGTTAAAGTGGTGTACACCATCTTGTAGGCTTAAGGGGAAGCCTGGTGTGAACTTTAACAATTAAAAAATTGTGTAAGTTTCCTTCTTATTTAACAGCTCAAACGTATGTAACCCTCTTTACAAAAAGTGAGAGGTAAATTTGAAATTGTTTTCTTAGGTAGTTATCGAATAAAATAGATTATTCCCATACGAAATCAATAACAGTAAAATATCAACTTTGAAAATTCAACCAATTGAAATATTCAAGATATATAGGAGAATATATGAAATATACAAGAGAAAAACGTTCAGCATAAAAATCTTTCACCAAGCCCTAAATGAAAATTTTCTGAAAAACTTTAACAAAATCGCATGTCACAGTGGAATACCACCTTAAGAGATCGAGCAAAAAGACTAGATTCAATTTTTCAGTCGTATCGTAATGCGTCCGGTGCGGACCGAGCGTTTCCCTCCGAGATATACGTTTACAGAATTACGTTCCTCGAAATTCCTGAGTCACGTGTGTGTAGCGAGCACGTGATCCGCGCGCGATTCGTAAGCGACGGCGGCGGTGGATTCAAGGCCCCTTGTGAATGAAGCCTACATGCACGGCTCTCGCCTTACTCGCTTCCGGAAATCGCGAGCGCGTCGACCGGATGCCCGGGAGAAAATAAAGGACGTAGCCAGCCGCGAGGAAAAGTACTCGGCCGTCATAGCGGCAAACGGTGTTCTTTCTCGTGGCGAAAAGAAAAAAAAAAAACGACTGAATAATAATCGCGTTATCCTAGTACAGTAGAACGTTGATTGTCTAAACCAGTAGGGAGACAAATTCGTTCGGATAATTGATCTGGAGAAACTCATGTTTCATATACAGGGTGAGTCATTTAAATTGTTCCCCTAGAACATTTTCGTAACTGTTGACAATACTGACGAATGTTTATGATTAAAATTGAATGGTTCTGATGTGAGTGGTGTAGATAATTAATCTAGGGGAACTCAAGTTTCATAGACAGGATGAGTCATTTAAATCGATCCGATCGAATATTTTCGAAACCGATACTGCATAATGTTTGAGATAAAAATTGATTGGTTTCGGGAGAGGAAATATTTTGATGTGAATAGTGTAGATAATAAGTCTAGGAGAACTCAGGATTCGTATACAGAATTGATCCCACTGAAAAATGTTTATGATTAAAATTGAATGGTTTGGAGGGGGAAATAATTTGATATAAGTAGTTTTATCGTAGGTGGACTCGTAGAGGACATACAAAGTTAAATGCGTTCCTTTTTTTTTTAAATGAGTCATATTTTAGAATGCAACAGTCGATGCAGTTTGTCGTTCCTTATAAAAAAGCATTAAGTTATTTATGCCAAAGAACCAGTAGTTTAAGAGGTATTTTAATATGAAATTTGCGCGCGATACAACTCGCGACATCTACCATCTAACATTGAACATCAACTTTGAGAAGGTAAACATTGTATCGTATTATGTGCTAGTAGCATTTCGCAATTTAAAGAAAGACATTTTTGATCTGTTTGAAGAAGCTATTACGTCGACCCCACTCTGTGAAAAACTGTAAATTTATTAATCTAATTATACAAATTCACTGAATAATAATATTCCAAAAATTTGTTTATTAGAATAAAAATTTCTATTGAAAATACGTATGCTATAAAAGAATCATTATTGATTTCATTAAATTATGGTTGAATCATAACTAAGTTCATTAGTAATCTAGTCTTTTAGAGCAAAACACATTAAAATTTTTGCACTGATTCAATACTATAGTTTATACTTTATTATACCCTTTATAGTGTAGTATTTATCGTATATTATATTTATTTTGTTTTTTGAACTATCGTGACAGACCGCGTGTGTACCACCTAACGAAAACAGTTAAAAATTCACAATCTTGAAAGCATTCGTTTTAACATATAGGGTAAGTGACCCAATTACAGACAGATTAGTGGCTCAGATAAACTTGTTTTTGTTAAGAACGAATAAGAAATTATTGATAATTGTTTTTCTTCGAACGCTCTAACAAGTTTCATTTTTCTGGAATCTCGAAAAAGAATTTTTTTATAAAGTAATTGAAAATTAGTGAAATTTCGAACGAACGAAAAAAAAAAGTTTCTTTCTGTTTTATCCCATTATCTTTACTTTCGTGTACGTGGGACTTATTAGAACTTTCGCTTAGACTGTTTGAAGAATCACCATTAAAATACAAAGCATAATAAATAAAAAAGTGTAAATTGAAAACGTTTAATTCCTCCGAATAAAAGCAGAACAGAACTCTATTAAGAAATATTATTTCAAATATAATATAAATACAGTATATTTCTAATTCATAAAAACGTAGTTAAACCTCCATAAATCGAACACCATCCGTAATTAGGTCGCTTACCCTGTTATTACCAAAGAAGTTCTTCGTTTATTTCAGCGTATCCTACAAACATTCGAGATTCGTAACGATTTATTTCGATGTCCTGCAGAATGTAAACATCGTATTTCGATGACTAACGTCGTTCCCATCGTGTCATCGAATTCCGGGAGATTCAGGTTGCCAGGCGTTAAATGTTCCGCTTATCGTAGTTTCCATAAGTTTCTCGCGTGTGTATGCAGGATTTGCATTTGCACTTGCGTTCTTCGGTCTGTTCGTTATTTTCTGACCGATACCGACGATCGATGTGCACACGCTCGCGTCTTCGCGAGGTATCGTTTTTCAAAAATTAACCGTTTAGTTTGCAATCGGCTGATACGCATTAAGTAACAGTAAACGTCGACACGTGCTCTTGATACTACGTCAAAAATTCTGCCTTTATGTAATATTATCGTGAACTTCTCAAATAACTGTTTGTGTCAACTGAGGGGTCCAGTGCAAGAGGGAGCTATGCCACAATAGTAGCATTGTGAGATAGTAAGGCTTTTATGAAGAGTAGCGTACATCATAGATACACTACTGGCGAAAAGTATTGCCTCACTTGTGCACTAGTACAAAATTGATGAAATTCAGTGTTCCATAATTTTGTTAATATTCATCAAAATTTGTTTAATGAACAGGTTGGACGTTATACGTTTTTGACCTTTTTATTCGATTTTTCACTAGTGCACCAAGTGAGGCAATACTTTTTACCAGTAGTGTACAATTATAGTGCACTTTTCAACATATTGTGGCATAGCTCCTTATTGCACTGGATCCCTGGACTGATGTTTGTTCTAAAGTAAAATAAAATTGTCCCGTGAAAATAGTGTCAGACATATTTAGCCGCAGTTGTTTTATTCTTAACTAAATATAATAAGCAAAACATGGAGTTTTTTTTTTACGACGTTTCGATTAGGTTGACAATAAATTAAATACATTGAATGGTCTGTTACGTTAGGACTGTATATTCACCTTTAAGGAAAGTTGCTCAGCGATAAGGCAAGGTATCGATTGCGATTACGCACTGTACATTATGCCGGTAGTACTTGAGGTTCAGGAAAAAATGCTTTCTGCCGATAAACGGCTCGAGAACTGGGTTTACTGTTTTTATTAGCTTTATGTTCGCCGTCTATTTCCTGTTTCGCACCCTTCGTTGCGATAATCGTTAAAGCTGTAGTCTCAATATCCGTTCGATAGCTACCATCAAAATATTCTGCAATGGATCTCGCACAATGGGCCTCTCATACACTTACGTTAATAAGTATTAAGACACCTGGCTTGTATGAAGAAAATATAATGTTTCATTAATATTGCATATTTCGAGCAACATTAACTAGTTTATAGTAGCGTAGCTGTAGTCCATCGAGCTTCAAAATTCCTTAGGCAATATGTATTCTAGACTTTCAACAATTTCCTAATATCACAGTTCGTTTACTTCATACACGATAAATGTCGTAATACAGTAAATCTTCTATGAGTGTTCGAAGGCTCCTCGGCATTGAATGTTAAATATTTCATAAACTTATGGCCATATGCAGCTGAAACAAATATCATTTGCTTCAGAATTTCAAGTTCTATCACTGTGGTAAACATCATTAAACAGTCAGCGTTACACCTGGGGACCTCTCCTTGTCAGTGCCGAGGAGCTTTCGAACAGTTACCGTGGATTTACTGTATTTATGGACAGGAGTGTACATACATTCCCGATCATATAAGTATTACAACACTTATCGAATATGCAGTAAATGTTACAAGACATATTAGGCGATATTTAAGCTTGATGGACAGTGCTTATGCTATTGTGTAAGTAAAAAAGGCGTCCTAATGATACAGGCGTTTAAAAAAAGGATATAAATTTTTAGTACTTCTAGTACTCACCGATTGGAGTAAAAATGTCTAATCAACATAGGTCCTAGAATCGATCCTTTCCATGTAAAATCAACTTCTAGTTTTACGAGCGTTCGATGTCGCGTGTGAGTCAACATATTCAATGTAAACGGAAGAATTTGTTTACAAGTACATTAGTTCAAGGTTGTATGGCAACATACAGAACGACATACGGAATAAATATTTGAAAACTTCCGTCAATCGATGATCTACAAACACGAATTTTGTATTGAAGTGATTTTGATTTCCTATAGTTTCCTATGGTGCCAATGTTTCAGTGGTTTTAAGAACGCATTCAGTTATTAATCCTTGCGTTTATATTTTGGCTAGGCAAGTCCACAATTCTCTCTAAAAGACCACATTAATGACTCCAAATCACGTTGAAATTTC